TGACGTAGATATTATACACAGGTAAGTTGGGGAACTAGGGATCAAGCCCTGGGATCTGCCTCAGCTACCACGAATTGGTGAATACCGTTTCAAAAGAAAGCATTTGCACGAAACAACTTAGTGAGTTTCACCTCCTCCCTCTCTCTCTCTCTCTCTCTCTCTCTCTCTCTCTCTCTCCCACCCACCCACACAAGCACACATACCATCCCTTCATCACCGCCTCACCCTCCTGCTCCTTTTCTTCACTCCTGGGAACATGTGCAATGACTTGCTGGTTCCAGGTTGGCTGTAGCCTCTCTCTGACGAGGCTGTATCCTAGGTAGGGATAGATTCATAATTTTGTTTGGCTGAGGGCTAATCGAGAGACCTACCTGTAAGGAAAATTTGTGCCGGACATATTTGTAAATATAGGAAATATGGGCCCGGTACTAGCTCAAATTTCCTACAGCTACCCTAACTGCGAACAGCAGACCCCGGCTACCCCTAGGACAGACAGGCCCAATGGGCCTACGCTGATAGAAGGTCCTATAGCCTATAGCTGGGTAGGGAGAGGCCGTAGAGGCCGAAATAGAAACGGTACCGGTCGGTCAGTCAGTCCGGTCTAGGTCGTGTCTAGGCTAGTTTAGGGTACAGATAGGATGGGGACATCGGTCCTGTGCTTTTGGGAGTTGACACTTCGTGGTGGAAGTTGCTGCGCACACGGTATCAGGTCGTGGTTGCTGATTCCGGTGTGGGAGACGGCGGACATAGCCAGACCTTCGGAGCGCTGACCAGACTGGGGTCAACGCTGTCCGCTCTGACTCTCTGGGAGTCAAAGCAGTCTGGGCTATCAGAGGTCTGATGCGTTGGAGCACGTGGTGCACTGCTGACCCTCCGCAGGAGTAGGGTCCCAGTGGCGATGCAGCCATAGCTGCATCTTCTCAGAGGATACCATTGTCCGGACTTCATCTTCATCAGGGACTGTTGGCGCTGAGCTTCCTCCTCATCATCTGAGTGGCGATTGGCTCTGGGAGCCTGTTTCATCTTAGTGCCGGCCACTGAGTTGGATGTCAGGTTGGCGCTGGGTGTTAACTGGGGTCCTGGTGCTATTTTTAGCTGTTCTGTGTGTGGGGTTGAGGCGCTACCCCTCTGAGGATAGCGCAACAGGGTTCTGAGATTATTCAGGGAAAACGATGCTCTGAGTTTAATAAACAGTGGTAATACTGTGTTTGAGTTGTCATCTCTTTATTGATTTCTGGCTGTGATCACTCGGTTGTCTTCTATGAATGATTGTTGGGACCTGTGTGGAGAGAATTCACAGTTTTGTGTGTTCTGTCACTTCGCTTCCCTGAGTCTTCCGCTGCGTTCTTTCTGTTGGGCGGTGTGACACTCCACTACCTCTCCCCTTCCTTCTGTGCATTTATGGGCGTGTATGGGAGTTCCTGTAAGAGAGCGTTGATAAAAAATCAACAGACAATCATGTTCATAACACATGCAAACCCTCCCTTTCTCTCCCCCCTCCTCCCCCCCAGTCCCTCTCTTCCTCCCCCACTCCCATGCCTCTATCTTTCCCCTCTTCCTCCCCCTCTGTCTCTTCCCTCCCCCCCCTGTCTCCCCCCCTCTTTGCACACACACGTACACACACCCCACACATATGCAGAGAGCAATAGTGAAGGGAAGTTGTCACCGTTTTTTTGTGATAAAGCTTGTCAAGGCCAATACTGAAAGCCCAGTGCAGCACATACCAAAAACCAGCTAGTCTCAACCACCTATATAGGGGTTGTTTATTTTGGCTCTCTTCGATTTGGAATGCTAAGAGGAGAGAGTTGCATTCCATCCACTCACCTCATATCTATAACCCACGGCATCACAGTGTGAAAGCACCGGTCTCCCCATCGTCTTCCCGCAAGATCTGAACATACGAAGCAGAAGCATCAGAGTTCCATTAATCAAAAAGAAATTACAACCAGTCTTCCGCGTACTTAATATTCTCCCTTGCCTTTCCCATTAGCCTTTCCCATCTGCAGACATTTGCACGGCAAATTCAGTGCAAAGAGTCAACCATCAGAAGACGAACACAGATGAATGCGGCGATTTAGATAACCGACCTCACTCCTGTGGGAATAGTGAGACTATCAGAAGAGGAAACAGCTGAGTGAACAATTTCAGAATTTCCTTTTCAACGGTCACCGGTGAGTCAGAACAGAGCACGAAAACACAGAGTTCATCGTACACAGGCTCATCTGGACTCAGGAATTTCACAGATTTGTACCACGGACTGGTTCATGCACAGAACACACACACACAATAAAAAAAAAAAAAGTTTTGGCATCCTGATCTCCGGTTTTGCCGCATTTTCTAGGCAATATGGCACAAATCTCGGGCCGAAAACAGAAGGTCGACAAATCATTTCATGCTTCACACCAAACTTCACGGGTATTGTCCTTGCTCAGGGGTCCATCTCACTAATCTTATTTGCATCTTTGCAATTTTAATGGATGCACAGAAGGATAACTATCTCCTTATCATGCTCCCGCAAGCCTTTTTCTAGTGGACCATAGTCCTGGCTGCCCTTGCTCTCACCCTGCACAGTTACCCCCAAACCACGCCACCCATACAAAGTTACAAACCCCACTATCCCCATTTAACTCCCCCCCATACTGTCACTTCCTCCTCACAAGTTCTTCCTACTGTGCTCATGCTCCCAAATATGCCTCCCTAGCTTCGCTCTGTCATCCTGTTACTCTTTTCTCACGGTTGGAACATAAACACAACATTGATCACTCAGTCTTCACACCACATATACTCGCTTCACAAAGAACGAACCAAACTCTTGCCCTCATACGTCTTTTTGATAGTGCCTCTCACACCCCACCCTTGGAATGAGCTTGAGTATTTTCCCTTCCCATGGCTTAGGATTAGTGTAATCCTGAGTTTGGCAAGCGGGTGGAGAATATGTCGGTACTCTGCAAAACCATAAATGAAGCAATGATGTATGTTCAGCTTTTCACAATAGTGTTATACGGTTTTGCCACATCTCGGTCATCACCTAAAAATAGTTCAGGCCTTGAAGCCTTCAAAAATCCAGTAGGAACTCTCCTATTGACTCCCAATTTTCCACATCACTGTGCTAGCCCAAGACCATAGAAGCTCTATAAAGTTCTATTGGTAAACGGCACTCAGTATTTCCCAACAAGGAAACAGTGAACATCCAGTAATTTGGTGTCTTCTATGAAGGGCCTGGCCAATGACTAATCCATTCTACAACATATACTGAGAGTAGAGGAACATCTCACCTTCTGAAGTAAGCACCATGCTGCAGGAATGCCTACTCATATTGTCCGAGTACAGTTCGAAGCTAGCAGGCCTCATAAAGACTCATAAGTCACGAGTGAGATGGGTGCTGGAAAATCTGGAATTCCATCAAGCACTGGTCAGTGTGGATAATCCCGAGAGGCAGATGGAGTTGCTTGGAGGAGATATCATCTCTTGGAACCAAGCACGATGCTGCAGAAGTGGCTACTCATTTTCCCTGAGCACAGTCGCAGCTAGTGGTCTTCAGTGGAGAAGGGGGGGAGAGGCGTTGGAGGTTCTGGACTGGTGTCAAGCACTGCATATGGTGGGTGGGTGATGCCACCATAGTTGGAGAGGGAGAGGTGGTTGCTAGAAGAAGATGCCCGAAGAGGGAGAAATCTTGAACATGAAGCTAAGCCTCAGAAGTAGCAAAAGCTCATATTCATTCATTCATTTCATTTCAGTCAGATTCTTGGATCTTTCTAAACATTGTGACCTTTTTTATCAAGCCTTTTAGGTACTTTTTCATTTCTTTGGGATTACTTGCATCTGTTCATAGCTCTGCCACGAATTTGCAACCAGGAATCTTTTTATCAAGTTTCTTTTTTTAATGGTAAGCCTATCTGCAACGAGACCCCCACGAATGACACACTCAGACATGAGTTCCACATCATACCTCACTCACGTGAGACACACGGCTTCCAAAAGAGTCTCAGAAATCAACGCAAACTACTTCTTCGTCACCAGCGGCTATGGCCGCTCAACTCAGCAT